ATTTCAAGGCTACGTATTCTGTACTACAGTTTAAATTATTTACTGGATCCAACTTCATGATTTCAGTATAAATATTTAAAATTAGTGTCACATGTCAATGGTAATATTTGAGCCTACATATCTTCTGTTCACCTTTCTCTTTTCTCCTCAAGCCCGTGAGGACGTGTTTTCTCCCAAGAGGCTTTCTCTCTGCTGATTTTGTGACACTATTACATGAATATTTCAGGATGTAAGTATTTTCATGCAAGATACTACTTTTTCAGGTCCTGCTAAATAGTATTATGAAAAAAAACTTGTTAGAACACTTGATTTCACACTGACAAACTAAATAATAATATTGCCTCTTGTCAAGTTCAATGTACACTATTTCTTCCTATCTATGATTGTGTTAACACATAGAAATACCCATATTAGTCTTTTCCTAAGTTTATAATCACCTTCTAATTAATACACTAACTTTTAAAAAAAATTATACTTTAAGTAGTTTCTGCAGATTTCACTAATCAACTTTATCACCTCCCTTAGTACTTCTCCCCATTCTTATGGCTCTTCTGGCATGCCCTACTCTTCTATTTACTCCTCAAATGAGGGCCTTCCTTTACCTGACTACATACAGAGTCATTCATGGAGTACACCAAAATCTACATTCTATATCCGATATGCATTTTCTTAAATGAAGAAGCTCCATCATATGTAAGTGTGTGTGTCTTTCAGCTTACAGAATTGCAGTTCAGTGTTATTGCTGAAATGACTGCATCAGTGCTACAAAAAGACCTTACACGAAAAGCATAACTAGTCAAAAAGAAAATATCTTTCAATTCAGTCTATCATCATAAATAATAAAAACACCGTAACATTAATTTACAGTCAATACACAAAGCACTTACAATACACTAGTGGCAATATCAACTAACCGCTTTTCTTTCCTTAGTAATTCCCATACGAAAATCCATGGGACTAAATCCTCACAATCCATTCACTTTATTGTGCCCAACACACAGCGTTTCCCTTCAGGGAGATTGCCCTCATGCAGACTAGAGAAAGATATTTCTGAGGTTGTGCCTCAAGCCACATGGCAAATTCCAGAATAAAGTATATAGGAAGAAAATAGTAGATACAGGGCAGTTTAGGAAAAGTTTAGGAAAATCCTACCAACTGTAGGATTTAGAAAGAATCTCCAAAAAAAGTCACATTCCCGCTCATGCAGCTAAATGCACATTGAGGAAACTGCTTACAGCCTTATGTGCGTATATAAATGTGTTTCACTGCCAGTTCATGAGGAAGTAAAGGGAAAAAAATGCCTACCCGAACGCTTAAAGAGAAAATAACCAGCACCAGAATATGTTTAAGATCCCTGTTCCTCTGCTATTTCCACACAATTCCATCTAGGTGAGAGCCATTCCTCTCAGCCAGTTTTGTCACATCAACTAGGAGACATGAATACGTAGGGTGAAAAGCTTGAAGAAACATCTCAATGAAACAGATTTTCCACATCACAACCAAATATCTTAATTCCAGTCTTAAAATATACATCACAAAAACCCCCTTTTTCTATTTCTCATGCAGAAAAATGTTTACTGTCTATATGGTATTTCAGTGAAGATGTGCATTCTTTTTTTGCTTCAGAAACAAGATTGTGCAAAACATGCCACTGATCACGAGTCAATTAAGTGCAAGGACCTGTCCTGAAAAACGGAAACTACAGTCTATACGAGACTAGTAGTAAAAACATGCCTTCCTTTTTCTCCAGCTGTCTGCAAACTGATTAAGACAGACAACTTACCAGCTACGAAAAATTAACATGTTTTTGATTTTGTAATATTTTTCCTACATGTATTATCATCACTATGATACACCTAGTAATGACACCAACAAAAAAATAGCATTACTCCTGACATGGAGAATAATTGCAATTATGACTCTTGACAAATTTTGCACAACAGGCCAAGTTATCAACTGTGTTCAGTTTTACACTGGTTGTTCAAAGAGCACCTCCACTGACAGTAAGCCTAGGGATGCATACCTATCAAAAGTTTTCAACCTTCCTCTACTAAACAAAAGCCTAGCTAAAAAGTTTGCATGCACATCCAAAAAGTCCATCCTTGAACCAAGCTCCAAGTCTTACCAAAAATGCCTGAATAATTATAAAAAAAATGAATGGGTCAAGAAGACAGATAAAAGACCGGAGTCCAATTTCCATCTGAAAGCAAAGTCTAAGTCTGGGGACTTTGGCAACAGTTAGGATTAATCTACGTGAGACAATTACAAAATTCTGACTTTAATTTAACTTTTTTTTCTTTTAATATGGTATAGTTAAGCCCATATAAAGACCAATACTGAAATAATTTATTTCAGTTATTGGGTAGCTCATATTCTTAATAATTATTAAACGTCACTATTATGTATGTACTGTGCCTACTACACTGGATGTTCAATACATGCAGGCTTGGTGATTCAGACATTTAAGACAACTTTGAAGTTGCTGAAGCAGTTACCTGTGCACATCTCTGCATCATGCCATGCAGACATACTTCAAGTGCTTCAGACAGTTACCACTGCTGCTGTTTCACTGTATTTCTTTAAGGGGAAGAGGTCCCAAGCCAGGGGTGTGGTCCTGATGTACAAGCTGATGTACAAACACAGCTGGACTTTTCTCTGAAGAATCTTGAATTACCATGATAGTCAGTGGTTGGGCAACTGAAATGCCCATTCTTACTTTGTAAGTGTAAAAAGGAGTGCATAGCACTAGCTGTATTAGTAATGGCTTATATCTCCTGCTGTGAAAAAAGCACAATGCCTGCATGTTACCTTTTTTCTTTGTAAAACTAGGATCTTTGTAGCATGTTACTAGGTTGAAGTATACTGTGAAACTGCATGATGTGGCACCGTGAGCTTCCTCATTCTGACTGTGTTTACATTTCCATGCAAATTGCTTCCCAGCAAAGAAAAGTGAGAAGTTTTGGGTTACCATATCAAGAAACTAAGCCTGATCCTCATTTATGCTTTGTAGACAAGAGCCAATGCTGGCACACAAGTTTGGGGGGGGGGGGGGGGGGAGGTGTGGAGAAAAAAAAAAGAAAAAAAAAGTTTCAGTTCTGCTAAACTTATGGGATGGTGCATTTTCATTTACGACTAAATTAAGTATCTCAAAGCACCCAGCTGTCTACTCCAAATTCAGACATAGCTCAGACATGGCCAGCTTGCTCTCATTTCCAGGGGAAACCTCTCAACATCTGATTGTGTGCTTCACACTAAGGGTATCGGACTATCAGAAGCCTGAACTTCTGAACGAGAGAGAACTGTTGGTGTTGCTTTGTCCTTCCCAAAGCTTTTTTAAATGCTGATTCTGTCCAGTCACCCTTTGTATCATTCCAATCCTTGCGACAGGTACCGAACTAACAGCCCCTACACCTACACAGTTCAGAGGTGCTGAGCAGTGCAAGGTCCTGTACAATTTATGCCTGGCTGGAGAGGGTATTTTGCAGGCACCATCCACCAGATTGCTGCAGTAATGGCAGCTCTAGAGGACACTGAATCAAAACCATAAATTTATTTCACGTAAGTTTATGGAAAATGAGAAAGAGGGACCAAAGCTGGATTTGAACTGATCACTAAGGAGAAAAAACTCCATATCCCGTTGTATTGATCTGTCTCACACTCTGCCTCATTCTTTGCCTCCGGCTGGATATTTAGAACACAGTAATACTCTGCCAGAGGACACAGTGTGTCCATCATCATGAAGAAAAATGGAGGAAAGAAAAACATTTGGTTCCCTTGTAGGATTACTGTTTTTAAATAAGAGAAGTATGTCTTCAGATTGAGATACGCTAACTTCTCTGTAGCAAAGGTTTTTCTGTTACTTCTTATGGCCTGCCTAGCAGTTTATTACTGAGAAATGGTGACAGAAAGCAGTCAAGAGAAGGGCACTCAGCCCACAGCAGTGAGAAAATTCCTTTTAAGAACACTAAATCTTTCTTATTAGGGACTAACCTGCATACTTCTAAATCATCAGACCAGTCATCATACAACACTGGAGGCTTGTGAGCAGCATCAGTCACACTGGGCCCTGCCCCAGCAGGTGCTCCGTTATCTGGGACTGCCAGAGCATCGCTGCCGGAGCCTGCCTCCGCAAAGCAGTCCTTCGTATCTTTACTGTGTCTAAGGAAAGACGCAGGCTGTCGATCTCTGTAGTAGCTTTTGCCTTTGCTTCTCCCACATTTTCTCGCAGAAATCCTTGCTTCCTGAGATGATGCTGAAGACTGCAGTTCCTTCAGCCTTCTTCGGCGGTGATTTAAAGTAGGATTCTCAGCGTCAGATACCTCTTGCTTCTTTTTCCCCATTGTCCCCAAGGTGACAAGTTCAACAGCATTATTGTTTGCGGGCCCATCCTGGTTAGTGCATGATCTATTGTTCCTTCTCCCCCTCCTGGGCATTCTGGCCTTTTCTCTCGCTCTCCTCCTAGCCTGAGCCCACTGACTCTCATCCGAAGATGATGATGAATCAGATGCGTTCCAGCCGGATCTCGCAGACTCAGCGTGCAATTTAGAGTCTTTCCCCTCTCCTCGCTTTTCTGTATTCTCACCATTGTCTCCAGTCTCTCTTTTCCGCCTAAACCTTCGTTTTACTTGTTTCTTACCAGACTCCCTATTAGAAGGGGTCAGCACCATGACAGGGGTTGCATGTTCAAGCTCATCTTCTGACAAATCATGCAAGGTAGTAGATCTAGACAAAGCAGTAAGCACAGGAAAGGGATGGAAATGGTAAGGGTGGGTGGAAAGAGAGAAATCACAAAAAAAGGATGAAAATGTGAACATGAATTTTAATAGAAAAACATGAGACTGAAAAGCAAAAAGAGAACGAAAACAAAAAGAGATCAAAAGAAAACTGGTCTATGTAAATTATGAACAGTGTTAAGCAGAAGCAAGAGCTACATATTATTTAATAAAGACAACAACTAACAAGTATCAGCCAGATTAGAGTATATTTTTCTCAGCACATACCTACAAATGTCCTGAGTGGAAGGGCAGACAGACAACCGTGACTGACTCCTGGGAGCTGTTCCTGTTGTAGGACTGCTTGCCTGTTGAAATAAGTTAGATAGTTTGGAATCTTTGTCCATGAAATACATTGCAGATATTTTACTGCTTTGCCACATGATTATAAAATTAAAGTAACTGTTGCTGCTGTTCATAGCGCACTGTTGAACATAAGCAAGCTCACAAAATACAGGAAGCCTGACCAAAAGCAAAACCTATTTGTGGAACTAAATATGACTGAAGTGTTTCGGCTCTCATTTGCTCATGACTACTTTTTGTTGCTGTTTGAGGAAGCAGCTTTCGACATTTGAATTTGCATTTTGGTTTTGATCTACTGTAAATGTCTGATGGGAAAGGAAGTTGTTTTTATTTCATGCAATCAAACAACCATGATGATTCCTTTCAAAATGGAGTGAAGTGCATTTACATTATGCTGAGTGAGGAAGAGCACAAAGCTAACCTACGTTGAGTGGACTGACAGAGCAGCAAGAAAATTAAAGTAATGTTTTAGAAGGTTTTCAAGGCAATCAGATCTTCTAGAAGAGCTCAAACATGTTAAACTGATGAGCTTGAGAAGACCAAAGTGCAGGCTGCATCTCTACAGAGCTGATCACATTCTCAAACAGCAGGAGAGATATAAAACATGTTTAGTATGTGACATTTTGCTCATAAGGCTGCTGCTATGAATAGCAGACTCAGTTGCTCAGTACTTCCACATTTTGATGGTGTTAACAGCAAACCATTTCAATCTGCCTCACAATCTACTGGCAGCATAGCTGTACGGAATCCAAATTTAAATCCAAGGCTTTGTGATTCTTCAGGATCACACACAAGGTACAGTACTGTGGGGAGAGGGTTTAGGACAAATAATTCTTAATGCTATGACCTTCCTTTAGCTGATAAGGGTATTTGCTTTTAGTATGCAACCCTACCCCATTATGAGCACCACTACCAAATGAAGACAAAATACTATAAGCGTCAGACTTCCAGAAGATCACGCACCAGATGCAGGGCAAGAATCTATTAAGCAAGAGTACAAAGTATAAATAATACAGAGATGTAAAGGCTGCCATCCCAAGTTTTTGTACTAGCAAATCAAATGCGGTCACACAGAGTCCATAATTAAAATTATTTCTAGCTCACCTTTCACAGACATTTTTGTGGTGTCAGTTTGAAAATTAATAGCACAAGCAAAATAAATAAATACAGCAAGTACCTGCTGACACTTCACTTTTATCCAAGGTTCTTAATATCCATTATATTTCACGCATAGATCTTTTGGAAACATCAGTCACCACTATATGCATTTTTGCTTTTAATGAGATACCAGCTGAGACTTAAGAATGGTACTTTTGCATGAAAATAATCTTCTAGCTTTTGAAATTCATGTTGACCTCTTGATGTATTAATATCACAACACCAAAAATATTACTGAGAAATGAAACTCAGAAGCATGAAAAGTAAGCCAACGTAGAAATTAAATTGATAAAGCATTTGGGCACAATCCATATGTTCATATGGTTTTTCAATGCCGGGGACCACCAGGCAGAGGAGAAACATTAAGAGTGTCTGCAGTCTAATTCTGGAAAAAAGGACAAGTACCAGTGGAAGAAATTGTTTGGATTTCGTATCTTTTTTTCTACAAAAGCAATGTTTCAGTTACACGTACAGTGAAGGAATACGAGTTGTTTTCACATATGCATTAAAAACAGATGGCATATGTATGGTCGGGTATATAATATTTTCCACCTCAGCCTCTGTGATTAGTTTTAAGTGATTAGGCATAGCTTAAGCTACTTAATAAGGAAAGATGTAGACACCAGCATCAGAGCCACGTTTTTGGGCTACATGCTGCTGCCACGTGAAAAAACATCCCTCCAGACTAAACCCCAGGTGAAGGACTGCTGAAGAAATCCAGCCATAGACTTGAGTGGGGACTTCTAAATTCATCCCCTGTGACTAGTTCCCATTTTTTCCCCCTCACAGCTGCAGGACCATAACCATTGCTTCTTTCAGCATGTGTGTATTACAGGGGGTCTTCTGATCTGAAGCGGTGGTCAGGTCATCCCCATGCTGTTAAATGCAAGATTTATATCACCTTCTCACAAGCACTACCCACTGAAGGGATAAGGAGAACAGGTAAGCTGGCCCAGTAACCGTAGAGTAGGTCTGCATAAGTTCAAGAAACTTTCAGCAGCTATTAAAGCAGGAAGTCAGCTAGACAGTTATTAAGAGGGTTGGAATCAAGCCAGGAATTAAAACAAATTCTTTAAAAAGCTTTTACACTTATTATTTGGGGCTGGGTACAAGTACAAATCTAATTATTTTAAGATAAAAATTACATTACCAGTTTGATTGCTTAAAACTTACATTTCACTCTCAGCTGTAAAGAGGTCTGGACTGCTTCAGCCCTGCTCAGTCAAATTTACTTTCTAGTTCCCCTGTACTGGCATAATGATGTTATGATTAGTTGCACCTAACTCAGACAAAGGTTTATTTCCTTCTAAAATAATTTATATCAAACTCTTTTAAAAAAATGAACGCTTTTTGCTTGTTTGTCTAATCCAAATTGGAGCAAACCTGACATCTGGGCAGGCAAAAAGCCTATGCACCAATTAAGTCCTCAAAAACAAAGCAAGAAAACTCCAACATGACAAGTTATGCACAAGATAGTTCAGATTCTCATCCGTGAGCAAGTTTCATTCAATAGGTTTCTAAAGCTTTTAAACATAAATTTGGGTTTTATCTACTTTAAAGTAACTTTCAATTGTAAAATGAATTGATGGAGTGATTTTTAAAACCAAGAAGTTAGTGTTTCTAATATTCATTACCTGATGTTTACTTATTGACCTCACAGGTACTGAAGGGCCTTATTTTGTAAATAATTCCAGTCTTACCTCTGTAAATTAAGTAGGAGTGGAAGGACCTGTCAATGTCAAAGCTGTCCCTGCTACCACATGTCATATGAATATAATTGTTCACAGATAATCAAGCTGTTTTAAAAAACTTGTAAATTCCAGCTGGAAGCCTATTCCAGACCTTTACCCCAAAATCCCTTTGCACTTTCACCCTACCCACATCTGACAGCATAAACTGCACCTGGGCTTACTTCATTTCTTTCTGTATATTCCCGCTTAGCCATCTCCTCTACAAGCTATACATCCGAAACTACGCTTTTTAAAAAAACATATATTCTCTTAAGTCCAGTGTCACAAGATACCTAAAGCAGCATTTTGGTTGGTCGGTGTATTTACAGAGCAGAGCATACAGCCATATGGAACTTCCAGGTTAGACCCTAGAAGGGGTACGCTCGTGTCAGCACAGCGTTTTGCCCCCCCGAGCGGCAGAGCTGGCTGATGAACCCAGCCCTGCACAAGTTCCACGTTCACCCCATCAGTGCTGCCTCGGAGTGCCGGCATACTGCGCTGCCACGGAACGCAGCATTAAACACGTCCGTCATTCCGGCTCATCGTATAAGCTTTCTATTGTTTTTAATCACCTTTACTGCTACAAAATACAAAATCCTTTAAGTGGCATCAAGTTTATTTTAAAGGCACATCTGAGAAACCAAAACATGATCGTTCGAATATATTCTGCTCACATCGTATCAGCCCAACTCTTATGGGAACGTATATACAACAGGTATTGGAAACGGTCTCAAGCACACAGATCTTATTGCTGTAATTGCCATCGCATTGCTACATTGCTGTTTAGCACACTGAATAGTTTGTGGTACTGTATTTATTGAATAGAGGGGTCAGATTGACGCTGTGGACTCCAATTCCACTTGGCAAGCAGAATAACGATTTTATTAAAAGAATAGTAGTCCTTGAACAAATGTCTAATTCAGATGGTTATATTGTACAGCTCATTGGCATGGGAAAACTAAACAAGCACTGTACTGATTTTATCATAGCAAATTATATCAGCAGCATAATTAAATGTGGTAATTCAAAATAAAGTTGTCTGACAATTCATTTATAAGCAAGGCAGCTCATTTCTCTATGCCATCAACACAGACGCTTGAGGGATAATGCCAACTCCAGCTGATTAGGTTCGGCATTTCAAAAACATGGTTGTTAGAGTGAGATTCCCCAGTCACCACCTTCTGCCATCTTGGCTGGTTTAGATGAACTTTTTTGTCAAGGATACGCAAATCAATTAACGGACAATTAATTATTAATTAATTAATCAATTATGGCCTCAAGTTGCGCCAGGGGAGGTTTAGATTGGATATTAGGAAAAATTTCTTCACCGAGAGGGTGGTCAGGCATTGGAACAGGCTGCCCAGGGAGGTGGTGGAGTCGCCATCTCTGGAAGTGTTCAAGAAACGTGTGGATGTGGCGCTTCAGGACATGGTCTAGGGGACATGGTGGCGCTGGATTAATGGTTGGACTTGATGATCTTGAAGGTCCTTTCCAACCTAGTGTTTCTGTGATTTCTGTGATTCTGTGACATGACAGGGCACTTATCCATAATTATTTTTGATATGTTCAACAGGAGCTGGCAGTATGCTTTTCAAACAGAATACTGGTAAATACGGAGTTTTCAGGACAAGCGAGATAATAATTTATCTGACACAAGGGAACTTCAATGTCACACACATGTGTCCGTGTTAAAAGACTGCAGCAAAGACAGAAATGAGGGACAGAATGCAGTTCAACTGATGAGAACAAGAATTTCAAATGAAGATTGCCTTTACTTTGGTGTTCAGGATCTGATAGGATTTTCCAGATAATAACAAAAAATGAGAGCCCTCACTGACCATCTACGGCTTAACACTGCATGTTGAAACTAGTCCAGGAACATGAGACAAGCTGGGCTCTTGGAGAGAAGGGTTCTACTTTGACCTAACAGAAAGGCTGAGTAATAACACGTTCCACAAGTACAAATAATTCATATTTGAATGGAGTTAAGCTTTAAAATAACAAACCAGAGGTAATGGACAGCTGCTATAAAGTGGCTTCACAGATACCACCAGAAAGGCTAAGGGATCCTCTACTACCTCTGTTCTGAATAAGGAAGGCCAGAGGCATTTCCAAAAGCTGCTCAGCTTACAACACTGCTTAAGTAGAAAGTTGTAGAAAATTGAGGGGCAATAGGTCAGACAGGGAATATGACTAATGGTTTTATTCTCCTACCAAGTATGCTTTAC